AAAAAAAAAAAAAAAAAAAAAAAAAAAAAAAAAAAGGAGACAGTTTTTATTCGTGGAGAAAAAACAAACAGTAAAAATTTAAAAATTAAATATAAGATAAAGAAAAAGAACAGAAAAAAAAATAAAAATAAAAAGGAGACAGTGAGGAGACAGATTTGTTTTATATTACAGAAAGAGAAACAAACAGAAAAGCAGAAAAAAAAAGAAATAAAAGGAGACAGATAAAAAACACAAAATTAAACAAAGAACAGAAAAAGAAAGAGACAGAAAGAGAGACAGAGAGACAAAAGGAGACAGAAAGAGAGGCAGAGAGACAGAAAGAGAGACAAAAAGAGAGACAAAAAGAGAGAAAAAAAGAGAGACAGAAAGAGAGACAAAAGGAGACAGAAAGAGAGACAAAAAGAGAGACAGAAAGAGAGACAAAAGGAGACAGAAAGAGAGACAAAAGGAGACAGAAAGAGAGAAACAAAGAGAGACAGAAAGAGAGACAGAAAGAGAGACAGAAAGAGAGACAGAAAGAGAGACAAAAGGAGACAGAAAGAGAGACAAAAGGAGACAGAAAGAGAGACAAAAGGAGACAGAAAGAGAGACAGAAAGAGAGACAAAAGGAGACAAAAGGAGACAAAAGGAGACAGAAAGAGAGACAAAGGGAGACAAAAGGAGACAAAAATAAATAGAGATATAGCTAATATACAGTTGTATAAATAAACAAACAAAACAAGAACGAAAAAGAGAGAATAAAATAAACAAACAGACAAAAAAAACAAACAAATAAACAAATAAAAAACAAATAAACACAAGAAAGAAACAAACAAAAAAAAACAAAAAAACAAACAAATATTGAGTAGAGCAACAATGCGTAAACGCCAACAGCCAACAGCAGCAGCAGCAGCAGCACCACAAGCAGCAGCAGCAGCAGCACCACCACAAAAACCAACAACAGCAGCAGCAGCACCACCACCACCAACACCACTACCACCACCACCACCACCACCAACAGCACCAGCAGCAGCAGCACCACCACCACCAGCAACAGCACCAACACCAACAGCAGCAGCAACAGCAGCAGCAGCAGCAGCAGCAGCAGCAGCAGCAACAGCAGCAGCAGCAGCAGCAGCAGTCAGAAACTTACATGAGGAATAGGCATACAACAAGCGCGGGTAGATCGAACTGAGCGATGCTGCCGATGGCCCCGAAGACAGCAGCAGCAAGCAGCAGCACAGCAGCAGAAAAAAAGAGAGATTGGTATCTACAATTAAACTGCAGCAGCAGCTCCTCTATCCTCGCCCCCCCGCTCTCTACCTGCTCGGCGATGTGTGCTGCTGATGTAGGCACTGGCGGGTAAGGAGAAGACTCCCCAGCTATCAACCCCTGAGGGTCTGTATACACACACACAGCAGCAGCAGCAGCAGCAACAGCAGCAGCAGCAACAGCAGCAGCAGCAGCAGCAGCAGCAGCGGCAGAAACGGGGAAAAAAGAAGGTTTTGGGAAGGTTTTGGAGACTGTATTAGGTGTACAAGGGAAAGGATATATATATATATATATATATATATATATATATATATATATATATATA